ACTTCTCAATTCAGGAAAATCTTTATGTCCTCTTACTTACAATTGTTATAAACTTTAATCTCTGCCTTAAATGCCTTTCCTGGTTCCCATGCATTATTCTCTCCTGATTACCCTTCTCCCTCTCCAATTATTTTCCTTTGAGGCTGCTCTTCATCCACCCAGGCTTAACTGTTGACTTTCCTCAGGGTTCTAACCCCAGGTACTGTCTCACTGGTTGCACCGGGCAGTTGAATCTGTAAGCACTTTTCACCTTCAGTACGGTCTGTGCTCATTATTTCCAAACCATTATGGACTTGTCTCTGAGCTATACACCCAGACCTCTGACTTTGTGTTAGGGCATCACTATCTGAGTGTCACAGAGGCATCTCAAAATTTAACCTGTACAACATAAATTATGGCATTTTTTTCCCCAAAGCCTGCTGTTCTTTCTATATTTCCTCTTTCAGTCAATGACAGCACTGTTCATCCCACCATCCAAATCTAAAACCTAGGAAACTCATCCTTCACATGCCAACTATTCTACTCATTGTTTCCTATGTGGGATCAATCACCTATCACCTTTCAACTGGACAATTAAACTTGCCTTGTAACTAGACTCCATCTCTGTTCTCAACCCTCTTCAATCCATCTCTGTTGTTGCCAAGTGAATGTCTAAAAGGACAAATCTAATCATGTCATATACCATGTGTAAAATCTTTGAGTTTTAATCCAAAATCCTTGATGTACTCTAGGACTTTATCATTTGGCCACTGCCTTTGTCTTCATCCATTTATTCTATTGCTTCATAGTACTGCACTTGCAATTCAACTGATCCAAGCTACCAGTCATGTCGTGGATTCACAATCATTCCTTTTGAGGCTTCATTCTAACTATTCCTTGCCCAAAATATCGTTCCTTCACTCAACTTCCAGCTCAGCTCAGATTTTCTTCTATAAAGCCTCTCCTAAATCTCGCAACTAAAGTAATCATTCCCCCTGAATTGCTACTGTAACTAATATATACCTCAGTTATAATACTATTAATTGTTTATCTCTCCTATACTTATTTCCTTGAGGGCAGCATAGTTTTACACTTTGTAAATATTTGATGAAGAGGCTTAAACAACAGGACAACTCCATTTTCAAATATTCTATAAAAATACAGAAGTGAGAAGAAGTCATAAAATTGCAACTGGTCCATCCAACAGGGACCTTGCATTTGACCAAATTAGCAAGCAGTAAGTTTTAGAAGAATACCTATTATCTTAATCATCTCGAATTCAACAGCAGTAACTGCTTTCCTGGTTTAAAATATATATATATATATTAGTACAGCCCTGAATCCCTAACCTAGAGCACATATAATAAAGCACAGCTCTAAAGAGTTAAGGATAGGGCTCCTGGGTGGCTCAGTCAGTTGAGCATCCAACTTTGGCTCAGGTCGTGATCTCACGGTTCATGAGTTTGGGCCACATGTCGGGCTCTGTGCTGACAGCTCAGAGCTCAGAGCCTGGAGCCTTCTTCAGATTCTGTGTCCCCCTCTCTCTCTGCCCCTCCCCTGCTTGTACTGTGTCTCTCCCTCTTTCTCAAAAGTAAATAAACATTAAAAAACTTTAAAAAAAAACAAAACTAAAAATACTCTTACTGTAAGACCTAGCAATCATGGTTCTTGGTATTTACCCAAAGAAATTTAAAATTTATGTCCACATAAAAACCTATACATGGATGTTCATAACTGCTGTATTCATAATTGCAAAAACTTGGAAGCAACCAAAATGTCCTTCAGTAGGTAAACAAACCATGGTACCACCAGACAATGGAATATAATTCAGCACTAAAAAGAAATGAGCTGTCAAGCCATGAAGAGACACAGAAAAACTTTAAATGCATTTTGCTAAGTGAAAGAAGCCAATATGAAAAGGCTACATACTGTATGACTCCAACTAAAAGAATCCAGAAAATGCAAAACTATGGAGACAGTAAAAGGATCAGTGGTGGCCAGGGGGGTCAGAGTTGGAGAGATGAAAAGGCAAAGCACAGAGGATTTTTAGGGCAGTGAAAATACTCTGTATGATGCTGTAATGATGGACCATGTCATTATACATTGTGTTCAAACCCAAAGAAAAGTGGTGCCTGGGTGGCTCAGTCGGTTAAGCATCCGACCTCAGCTCAGGTCATGATCTCGCAGTTTGTGAGTTCAAGCCCCGCATTGGGTTCTGTGCTGACAGCTCAGAGCCTGAAGCCTGCTTTGGGTTCTGTGTCTCGCCCTCTCTCTTGCCCTTCCCTGCTCATGCTGTCTCTGTCTCTCAGTAATAAATAAATGTTAAAAAAAATGTTTTTTTTAAACACAGAATGTATAACACCAAGAACTATAATGTAAACTGTGGACTTTGGGTAGTTATAAATGTATCAATGTAGGTTCATCAACTATAACAAATGTACCACTTTGATGGGGGATGTTAATATGGGGGAGGTTATACCTATGTCGGGGTAGAAGGTATATGGGAAATATCTGTACCTTCCTGTCAACTATGTTGTGAACTACTAAAAACTGCTCTTAAAAAAAAAAAAAAAAAAAAGTCCTATCAAAAAAAAGGGGGGAGGGGAAGGAAAATCAAAAAGACCTCTGAAACAGTTAACAACAACAAAAAAAGATCAAGCATCTGCTGGATTTAAGGCCCACAGTCATGGCTGGTTACACACAAAGATCAAGAAAGCTTAGGATCTGGGCAGCTTTCTGAAGGAGAGGATCCACAGCTTTGCATCAGTTCTCAGAGGATCCCATAATCTCAAAATCATTTAGAACCACTTATTTACGAAGATGAAATAGGGACCTCAAAGGGTACATTAGTAGTTTAAGGGAGGACATTTTTAAAAACTGAAAATACTATACCTATATATTTTGCATGTGCTAGATTTAAACCGAACAAATATACTCTAAAAAAACATGTGTCCGTTTATCATTTCTTTGATATCTCCAACTATGCATAAATTAAAATTAGTTAAATACCAAAACCACAGAAGAAGAGCTTCCCTGAATCTAAAAGCCCAAGAAAAAGGAAGAGCAATGGCAGATTTAAGAGCTGTATCTTCTGACAGTTAAGACCAAAAAAGCTAAAGGTAATATCAACTGTCAACTGTATGAAAACAGGTTACATTCATAAGAAATGGAGCAAATGAGAAACAGGTGCAAGAAATAAAATTAATTCTTTAATGGAAATTTTTCAAAATCCTCACTCAGCCTACTAATCCAGTAGACACAGACTCCTAAAATGGTTTCTTAGGCTACCTTGTAGACCTAATTGGAAACATAAAAAATAGAAGGTGTCAACAGGTGAGGGGACTCAATTACATTCAGCAAACAGCTAAATATTTACCATCTAGATCTAGCTATCATAAATGCATACTATGTAAAATGAAAAGTTGACTTTTGTAATATTATACATTATAAGAGCTCAGTCTTAATCTCCAGGAAAACAGCACAATGATAGCACTTAACTGCAACAAACCGTTGTTCCAAATACAGGAACAACTCTGAGCCAAAGGACCGCACCTGTTTCTGCCATACACATGTGAGACAAACAAGGGAAACCGAAAACCACAACTGATCAAGTGCGTTTCCATTCACCACAAAACTTCTAGTAAGGCATGCTTTCAGGAGCGACGTGTAAAAGGTGTACCAAGGATACCATGTGCATGACACTAGAAGACAGCTTTTGTTTTTTCTTTTAAATAACTGAACCACTGAACAGGAAATGCTTTTTTTCTTTTTAAAGTTTGTTTATTTTAAGAGAGAGAGAGAGCACAAGCAGGTGAGGGGCAGAGAGGAGAGACAGAATCCCAAGCAGGCTCCAAGTGCACCATCAGCACAGAGCCCCATGTGGGGCTCGATCCCACAAACTGAGAGATCATGACCTAAGCCGAAATCAAGAGTTGGAAGCTTAACCAACTGAGTCATCCAGGTGCCCCTCAAGAGGAAATACTTCTAATTGAAGAAGTGCAAACAAACAAACAGCCTAACTTGTCCATGCAGACACCTGAACTACCAATGCTGCTGCAGAAAAATCACATATCTGGACATACTGGTACTACAATGAAATTGATAAGCTCTGGTATCAACTGGGTCTTCAGGGAAGTCTGAGAGTCTTTTTTGTGTTCCTACACAGTTCTATCCCTGGGTCTATATTGAACTAATTCAATTTATTTTTTTAACTTTTCCTCACTGTCCTAAAAATTCACCACCACTTCCACCTTCAGTATCCCCAGCTTAGATGTGCTTATGTGGGTGGGACCCTCATGATGACCTTGTGCCCTTATAAGAAGAGACACCAGAGAGCTCTCTCTCTCTCTTTGCCATGGGAAGACACAGTAAAAAGGCCAGCTTCCAAAAGCCAGGAAGAGAGACCTCGCCAGAAAGAAATCATTCTAACAGCCTCATCTTGGATGTCCAACCTCTAGAAATGTGAGAAAATAAATTTCTGTTGTTTAAGCCAAGAAGTCTATGGTAATTTATTATGGCAGCCCACGGGGCGCCTGGGTGGCTCAGTCGGTTAAGCGGCCGACTTCGGCTCAGGTCATGATCTCGCGGTCCGTGAGTTCGAGGCCCGTGTCGGGCTCTGTGCTGACAGCTCAGATCATGGAGCCTGTTTCAGATTCTGTGTCTCCCTCTCTCTGACCCTCCCCCGTTCATGCTTTGTCTCTCCCTGTCTCAAAAATAAATAAACGTTAAAAAAAATAAATAAATAAAATTAACATTATGGCAGCCCAAGCTGACTAATACCAAATCATACTTACAGTTGGAGATTCCATACCAAACCCAACTCCAGTTTGACTTAATAATAGTGTCTTTAAGTTAAAGAACACTAATTCTGGTTTTGACTTTGACTTTTTTTTTAAGTGCTATCTTTCAGAAAATAATTATAGAAAATGAAAAAAAAATAAACATGAAATAATAAACAGGTATAGTGCAGGCCTATAAGAATACATCATCAATCTAATAAAAATGGAGTAAAAGATACTTACCACCACCAAGAATGTAAGAATCCTGGTGGTTCCCCCAATGTGATGTTTTTTTCCCATCTTATCTAAAATGAATAAAAGAGATATTAAATACTTTCTTAATAATACCTTTTCCCACACATATTACAAAGCAATATTTCCCCATTAAAAATACTAAGTTAATATATGAGATTTTAATCATTTTGATAGTATTCTTTACTCAAGTTTTACAAGAGCTCATTTTACATAGTTATTTGTTGATATGGTGGTTTATGAGAGAAGATGCCAGCAGTATTTTCCTGAATTTGCTTCCCACTGTGCCCGATTTTTAAGAGAGACTTCTGGAATTTGAGGTATCTCAGGATCTTAAGGCACATCAAAACTGCATTTTAATTAATCACCACTAATCCAGAAATTTGCAAATGTCTGGGCTTAATATGTGCAGACTCCCAATGATGCCTTGAGGATTGATATTTTAAACAAATTCCTGATTTGAGGGGATGAGAGTAAGAAGGCATATGTCTTCCATAAAATAACAGTTTAAAAAAGATGATATTAACTTTCCCAATGTTTATATTTCAGATGGCTTGGCATTCACTACCAAAAATTTAAAACAAGGTCAGTATCTCTTAAAAATTAAAATTTCTCACTAAATACTGTTTACAAATTAAATTCAGAGATTTGAAAACTGGGTAGGATTTATACAGTGCCTTTTCTAAGCACTGATAGGAGTAAACAAAAGATAAAAATCTTTGCATTCAGGGAGATTATGCTTTATAGAGAAGACAGACCATAAACAAAGCAAAAAGAAAAAAAAGGAGATTGTATTTATATTAGAAGTAGCAGGCAACAAATGCTAAGGAGGAAAACAAAGCAGAGAAGGACAAAAAAAAAAAGGAAAAAAGTAAGAAGTGAGCTATAATTTTAACTAAGGTGATCCAGAAAGGTCTCCTAAACAATCTTTATGTAGGAGTGCCTGGCTGATTCATTCAGAGAAGGGGCTCTTGATTTCAGGGGTCATGAGTCACAAACCCATGGTTCTATCTTTATGTATAAGTATGATTTAGTTTTTTAGTTTAAATAATTAAAAATTATTTAACAATATCCCAATTAGCAAAATATGCCCATAGGACCTTAATATAAAGAGGAAGTAAAAAACTACATAATTATAGATTTTAAAAAAAACAAGGAATTCTATCACCTACTATGGAAGAACTTAGAAATTTTTGTTCTAAAGGATTTAAAAAAAAAAAAAAGTTTTAAGATAGAACTCAGAAAGTGGCCTGAAATTAAAAAAAGAAAAAAGTAACTGCTTAAAGATGAAAAAACATAATTAAAATCACTGAAATCATCATTTTTTTAGAATTCTTAAATATACAAAATGTAAACCAATGTAAGCTTTGCAGTAATTTGCTCTCAAAAAACAAAGAAATTATCTATATATGAACAATGAACCAGAATATGTTATACAAATAAAAGCCAAATCCGAACTTGAATTCTCACACACTCATACACACAGGGGTGGGGCAGGGAGAGAGGGAGAGAGAATCTTAAGCACGTTCCACACCCAGCATGGAGCCTGATATGGGGCTCGATCCCATGACTGTGAGATCATAACCTGAGCCAAAATCAAGAGTCAAACACTTAACTGACTGAGCCACCCAGGCACCCCAACACAAATAATTTTTAAATCAATACTACTTTTTATCTGAATTCCAATTAATCATTTATTGTATCTTCTTAGTTCATGAAAAAAGGAATGGTAGTACATAATGAGTCTTAGGATAACAAAACTCGGATGTCCTGCAAAAGTTATAATTTAGTCAAAAACCTGTGTCTCATATATCTCTCAATCTTTTCTCTTTTTGTTCACTTTTTGATGTCTTCTTGAGAGGGCATAATAATGACCCTCATAGATGTGCCCAGACACACAAATATTCCTAATTCCTGGAATCATCCTAATGAGATGAACAGCAAGCTTTTTAAAGTAGCATCCTTACATTTCATCTCAGGTCATCCTGACTTACAGATATGACTATGAAAAAAAGCAGACAGCACTATTCTCAAATAAAATGAGAGGGTGTGATGACTTACATTAAAGTGGCATGATTAGGTTCCAGTGCCAGACTGTGCTGGCAGCAGGATTAGTCTCACAGTCTAACATGAGTCCCACTGCTCCATATCTGGTGCTCAGCAGTTTCCTTCCTGGACTTCTACAACCAACCATCAGCAATTTCACAAGATAAAGTAGTTGGGGAAAATACCTACGTGGTTTACACTCAATAGGCACTTTTGTGAAAGGAATCTAAACTAATGCATTTATATTTTAAACAGTTATTACATCTTACTGTTCCTCAGAGAAGCTCAAAATGTTTCACATACATCATCTTTTTTCATCCCTATAAAATTCTTTACTACGTAAAGTTCATCTTTCTCACTTTAAATTTCAAGTAGGGGCGCCTGGGTGGCGCAGTCGGTTAAGCGTCCGACTTCAGCCAGGTCACGATCTCGCGGTCCGTGAGTTCGAGCCCCGCGTCGGGCTCTGGGCTGATGGCTCAGAGCCTGGAGCCTGTTTCCGATTCTGTGTCTCCCTCTCTCTCTGCCCCTCCCCCGTTCATGCTCTGTCTCTCTCTGTCCCAAAAATAAATAAACGTTAAAAAAAATTTTTTAAATTTCAAGTATGTGACAGAAGCAGGTAAAACTTTGGTCCATCGTATTGAAATTAACACAAAAGCCATCCTTTGATAACTACTGAATAAACAATCAATGCTTTAGGTATTTCTAAAGAAGAAAGGGTTCTACATAGGAATAGGTTTCCATAGTGAATGCTGTTTTTTGCCTCCAAACTAATTACTACTCCAGGTATTATTTGCTTATAGGAAGCATGAGATGATGCTGATCTACAGATCTGAATCTGCTGGGATTCTCTTTCTCCCTCTCTCTCTGCCCCTCCCCCACTCACATACACATGTGTGCTCTCTCTCTCAAAAAAAATAAACATTAAAAAAAATGAAACAACCTGAAAACATTCACCAATAGTGAATATAAAAATATATTTTGATACTTGCATACTATAGAAGAGTGTGCAATCATTAAAAAGAATACAACATACCTACATGAAAGAGAGCCATGCTATATTGGTTTTTCAAGTGGGAGACGTGGAAGATTGGAGAATAATATATGTAATATAAACCTTTTCTTTTAAAAAAATGTATGCATATATATATGTGCATTTTGGTGTATACATTTAAAGAAATCATACCAAACTTACAACTATTACCTCTGGAAAAGGGTAAAGGGTGACTTTTATTTTAATATCATATTCATCTCTGAAATTTAATTGTTTTAGCAAACATGTATTAATGATGGATATGGTTGAGGAATGGCCAGAAAATACTTCTAAATGTCAATAGTCATTTTAGAAACAATTCTGCTTTTTATGAAAAGGCATTTTCTGTTGTATTGAGTTTCACAGGCTTCAGGCTTTTTTGGTGTTTGAATGACATCTATGCAAATAATTTTTCTCTCTTAATTCTATTTTTCCTTCTTCCATTATCCTAGCTCCAATATGTATTCTTTGTCCTAGGGCTTTTTGTTGTTGAATCATCCACCTTCCTTCCTTCCATCATTTGCCCAGCTGAAAGCGCTATTCTCTGGTAACTTATGCATAAATCATGATGCCCATTCCCACTGCCATTTTCTACATTTAAAGGCCCTGTCTGTGGTTATGCTGTGTCTCTACTATATGACCTGGGATTTTCAGCATTTCTACATAGGTGTAGCACTAAATATTGAATGAACAAAAAGTAAATTGGTAGGGGTAAGACATGCCATATGGCTTATAAATGAGAATTATAATTTACAAGTGCCCATACTATCTGAAAGAGCAATTCTTCTTCTAGGAATGTATCCTATGATCGTGTGTGCAAAATCATAAATATAATAATTTTCAGTGAAGCATTGTTCGTAATTGCAAAACAACCTAAATGTGATGGTAAAATATATCACAGCACATTTCATAGAAAGAAATACCCTAGCATCATAAAAAGAATGAAGAAGTGGGATGCCTGGGTGGCTCAGTCAGTTAAATGCCCAACTCTTGATTTCGGTTCAGGTCATGACCCCAGGGTTGCGTGAACAAGCCCTGCATTGGGCTCTGTGCTGACAGTTCAAAGCATGCTTGGGATTCTCTCTCTCCCTCTGCCCCTCCCTGCCTCTCTCTCTCTCTCTCTCTCTCTCTCTCTCTTTCTCAAAATAAATAAACTTAAAAAAAAATTAAGAAGTTTCATGAACCAAACAAAGTGAAGTCAAACAAACGAAACAAAAATCAAAGCATGTTACAGTATATATAATAAATTAGTACTTGTATAAATAAAAACTGATACACACAAACACATGCAAACACACACACACACACACACACACACACACACACACACACACTTGCTTAACTTTTCATCATTATTTGCTTCTGGCAAGGGATATTGGTAATTCACCTATTATCTCTAGGCCCCACACTCACCTTCTATACTCCATTCTACACTAGGTGCTGGGACTCTGAAAATTACAGTTCTCAGGCTCCCTGCCAGCTAGTTTCCTGTTCAGTTCTGCCAGCAGAAGGACAGTAGCTGGAGACCAAAGAGCAGGGGGAAGAAGAGAAGCTTCCTGCCCCTGGCTCCAGAAGTGAAGTAGTTGCTGTTGTAGCAGCAGCAGCAGCAGCAGCAGCAGCAGGGGACAATTCTGGATGTCAGCAGCACCTTTTCAGAGGTTCTAGCCTTGTCAATGTGGGACCTTTTTGAATGATCCAGACCTACTTCGACAGCATCTCCAATAGTACAGCAGTAGTTTTGAAGCTTATGAGCTCCAAACTTCGCAGAGTATTCCTAAATCCTTTCATACTTCTTGAGAACCAATATTCAAAATTATTAATACCATAAACAGATAGAGCTAATTTCTGTGTTAAGAAAAGAACCCGTAGTGCTTTTTAAATCTTCTTTGAGAAAAAAATTCAGTTATAAAAGAATGTGTTAGCCATTTTTAACATGTCATATACTTTTCCTAATTCCTTGCCTTTAAAGTCTGAGAT